TGTCCCAGCCACTCCAGTCCCTTCCCTTCCAGCCTGGGGACACCCTCCAGCAGCAGCCCTAAAACCGAGGGAATTCCCCTCACAGAAATTCCGTCCCAAGCAAGGCCCTCGGAGGTGCCCTAAAACAAAAGGTTAGAGTTAGATGAAGTTTTGTTTGGATGAAGTTTGGAGTTTTTAGGGAGCCAGCTGGAACTGCAGAACTGCTGGGAAGCTTGCACAGGTGGGTCACGCCGCAGGTGCCCTGAAGGCAGGGATGGGCATCCCTTTCCTCAGGGAAGAGAACTCCCAGAGGCCACTCCTGCCCTGGCCTGCTGTAAAACATCAACGGGAGCCCGAGCCCAGGGGTGGAGTCCATGGAATTCCAGGGAACTCTGTCAATGCCCCCGGGAATATGGGTGGGGCTGAGGGATGAATAAATAGCAAAAGGTTATAAATAGCAAATGCTATGGAATATCAACCTGTCCTTGTCCTGATCCCACTGAGCTTCCTTGGAGCCTCTGCTGGCTCCTGGCACAGCTGGTGTTCAATAGGCAGCTCTGTGTGGGAATATCCATGCTGCATGAGGATATCCATGGATATCCATGCTGCAGGAGGCACTGGGAGGTTATTCCAGTAGGGAATTCAGGGCTATAGCTATAATTCATCTAAACAGCAAAGCTGAACCCCAAATCTGGGTTTCCCTGCCAGCCAAAGCCCCTGGGCTGGGAAACTTCAGCAGCCAAACACATGGAATTCTCTAAATCCCAGCAACCAGCATTTTGTCCTCTATATATATTACCTATTTCTAAAACCAAAAACCACACAGGTTTTGTCTATCTCATCCACTAAATGCTCATTCTGTCCCCCACAAATTATATCAGATAATTCCTCAAAAATACTTCAATATTCTTCAGGTTATTTCAAGTTTTACCCCCAAGGTCTTCCCTGTATGTCTACTACTATTTATCTCATTTTTACCTCAAAATACTAATTCTACATCCTGTAAAAAATATCAAATTCTATACCCAAAATTTTCATTACCTCTCTACAAGTGATTACCTCAGTTTACCTCATGATCATTCTCTTCCCTGGGGAATAGTTCACATTCCCCCACAAATATTCCCTGTCCCCTTCTGATTTCCTCATTTTTACAAGAAAGCATTCTTTCTTTACTCTGGAGATTACCACAAGATTTACCCTAAAAATTTTACCTACCTGTCCACTCCCTATTACCTCATTTCCATCTCAATATTTTCATTCTTTACCCTACAGATGCTTTCAGTTTTCCCTCCCAGTAATTTCCTTACCTGTCCATAACTGGTTACCTCAGTTTACCCCATCAAGTGCATCCTCTCTGCTACAGTTCAACTCAGATTTTACCCCTGAAATTTCCCCTACCTCTCCACCACTGAGTGAGTACCTCATTTTTACCTCAGAATATTCATTTTCTACCATGCCAAATCCCTCAAGTTCTACCCCCCAACTTTACCCACCTGTCCACAGCAATTTTACCTCAGGTTCTTCCTGCTCTTTCCAAAAGATAATCTCACATTTTACCCCCTCAATTTTCCCTGCCTGCCCAGTACTGATTACCTCCTTTTCACCTCAAAATATTTATTCTTTCACCCAAAGATTAGCTCACTTTTTATTACCAAAATGCCTATTTTGTCCCCTGTATACTAACAATGTTTTAAAACCAAAACCACACAAGTTATGTCTTTCTTATCCCCAAATTCTGTCCCCTGCACATCACATCAGTTTTCCTCAAAAACATTTCTTTTTATTAGCTCAGGGTTTGCCCCCCAAATTCTCCCAAGCTGGTCCCCTCCTGATCACTTCATTTCTCCCTCAAGATGTTCATTCCCTGCCCTACAGATCTTCCCAAGTTTTACCCCCAAAATTTCCTTGCCTGCCCCCAGTGACTGCCTCAGTTTATGTCAGTGTTCACTCTCTCCCTTGAGATTACTCCAGTTTTACTTCCAAAATTTTCCTTACCTGTCCCCAATTTACTACCTCATTTTTACCTTAAAATATTTATTCTCAACCTCTAGATTATTTCATTATTCCTCTACCTGTCCACTACTGATTCCCTCATTTTCTCTTCACTATATTTTCTACCATGTGGCTTGTCTCATTATTTATCCCCTAATTCTCCATCTGTCTACTATTGATGATCTCACTTTTACCTCAAAATGTTCTTTCTCTGCCCTACAGATTATTTAATATTATTTTTGCCCCTCAAAATTTCCCTATCTGCCCACAACCGATTCCCTCACATTACCTCAGTATGTTCATGCTCTCCCCTAGAAATTATCTCAGATTTAGCCCCCAAATTGTCCCTACATGCTCAGTACTCATCACCTCATTCTTCCCTCAAAGTCTTCATTCTCTGCTCTTGAGATTTTGTCAAGTTTTGTCTCCAAAATTTTCCTTACTTAAAAATGACTACCTCATTTTTACTCCAATACATTCATTCTGTCCCCTACAGATTGCATTGAGTTTTACCCCAAAATTTTCCTTCCTGTACAATATTGATTAGCTCTTTTCTACTCCAAAAATTTGCATTGTCCCCTAAACATCACCTCAGCTTTTCCCTCAGAAATGCCACCTTGCTCCCCTTGACATCCTCACATTTTCCTACACAAACAGTTCTTGTGTCCCCTCAACTGTCCCAGGTTTTCAGCTAAAAATGTCACCTCTGTCCCCTCTGAGTTACCCCAGGTTTTCCCTGTTAGGAGTTGCAAGGAATTCGGGCAGGGCAAAGGACAGCAGGGAATTCTGTAAATTCAAAGGCAGAGAGAGAAGATCTACCAGCAAAGGGGAAAGGTTTCAGAAATCATTTCTGCAATTACTAATTAATAATCATTTCCAATCCCCAGTGAGAAGAACATGAACTCACCACCATTAAGGCCTGGCAGTTCCCTGCAGTGAGAGCTCAGTGCACATCCACAGAGGCAATTGCAGCATCTGAAAGGAAGAAAAGAAGAAAAAGGTGATTTCTTCTCTTTTGAAGTTATTTCAAGTTCTCAGACCCAAACCAACCTTTGCCCTTGATTTTGGTGACTCCTGAGCAGTGGGCACAGGTCCTGTCACTCATGCTGATGGGAGTGATGCTTTCTGGGGAAATGAGCTGATTTCCAAAGTTCACTGCCTGCCCCTGCCTGCTCTGCACAGGAGAAAACCTCTTGCATGAAGGGATTTGGCTCCATCCGATCCCCTCTGCCCAGGCTGTTCCATGGGGATGTTGCCAGGCTGGGGCAGCACAGGCAGATGCAGCTCTCAGCTCTCCCTGCTCCAAACACAGCTCTGGGCTCTTTGCAAACTCCTCTGCTGTGAGGGTTTCTCCAGAAGAACTCAAGGAATGGCTCACAGCAGGTGCAGATTAAATTATCACCAGGGAAGGAAAGGATAAATATTCCTGTAAGAGCCTTTGGGATCTGCTGGGCTGAACTGGGAAGGGGACATTCATTCCCTGCAGTGCCAGTGCACAACAACCTCCCACACAAAGCACAGACTGCCAGGTGGGGTCTGAAAGCACCACTTGCACAAACCTCATTGTTATTCTTCCTTTCAGGACTTTTCCAATCCAACCCTGAAGCTGAGAAGCCCAAAAGCTCTGGAGTCTGCTCTGGAACAAAAGGATCCTCCCAGGGCTGAGGCCCATTCCCAGCAAACCCTCCCAACAGGCCCAGAGGCGCTGCTGGAGCTCCTGCTGGGCTGGGAAGGGCTGCCAGGAGGACACAGCCCCAGGGGTGGCAGTGGCAGTGGCAGCAGCAAATGGCCACGCTGGGATGGCACAGCAGAGCCCAAGGCCAGCAATGGCCACGGCAGCTGCAGGGTTAATTCTGCTCCCTGCCTGCCCCAGCCCGGCAGGAAATGCCCGGGGGGACAGAAACTCTCAGGGTGCACAAAGTGCAGCATCTGTGCCCCCGATCCTGCCTGAGCCCAGCGTGGGGGGCCAACCCCCCCAGGGTCAGCCCTGCCCTGGCTCAGCCCCAGACACTGCCCCAGCTCCCGGCTGCTCCCGGGGCTGCCACCACTCCTGGCAAGGGGACAAAGGTGACAAAGGCCACAACTGCATCCAGGCCCATCACTCCATCCAGGTCCTCCCAAAGCTCCCCATCTGTGCTTTGGCCAGTGCCTGCCCCCAGCCCTGCAGCATCCAGAAAGTTTGAATGCTGGAGATCTGCTGTACTTCTCCCCTTCAGTGTTATTTCCAGGAAGTAACAAACCCACCACAGTGCAAGGGAAGAAAAGGTGATTTAAGGAATGTTTTACTCACACACTCCTCACTTTACCCCTCACAACCACCCCAGCATGGAACAGACATTCAGGAATTAGTGTTCAGTAGCTGCCATTGGAATTTTAAGGGATACCAACAAAGCCTTGATACATATGTGGGGAATTCCAAAACAGGTTTTCCTTCCCCATCCATGTCAGCATCCAGCACAATTCCCTGCTGCTGTTTGGTCCCCAGGAGCTGCAAGAGGAATGTCAGTCCTCGGCGTAGCCTCGTTAGTCCAGGAGATAATTAATTCAAAGAGAATTCATCTGGTCAGTGACAGAAGATCATCACAGCGGAACATGATCCTTGCCACAGGATATTCCCACCCCTGTGGGCAGTTCTCTGATCAAGAACTACTTCCCAAATTCAGTGATTCCATTTAAACCACAGCAGCACAGTTTGCAGGGACACAAGTTTTCAGCCTTGTGTGAACGAAGTGAAGACAAAACATCACTGGGAGAAATCCTGAAGTTTAAAATCCTATTCCTCACTTCTCTGACTAATGCACCTCTTAAAATCCAGTCTGGATTGTGCAGAAAAGTTCCTTGGTCCCACTTGGAAATTGATCTCCCCAAAACCCATTAAACAGTTATTACAAGTGATTCCATTCATTACTAAGGAAAAGACAATACAAATAAACTGGAAAAAAAATTGGCTCAAGTTTTCCTCAGGAATTAATTGGGAGCTCACCAGCAAGGATTTCTGACAGGTAGAGTGTGTGATATAAAAGATATATGTGCATATATATATATATAATATATATAAATAAATCATTATATATATTTATACACACACATATAAAAATATATAATACATATTTATATCACAAAGTATCTATCTCACATATATCTGCCATATATATATATATATATATAGACACACATATATATAATCACAAATGTTTTTATATCACAAACTCTACCTATAAACATTCCCCCCTCTTTTTCAGGAATGTAACATTTTTAGGGATCCTAAAATCAAACAAATACAAAGGAAAATAAATCACTATTTTATCCCATTAATGCCAAGATGTTTTCCTGGATGTGGTGCTGGGTGTTTTCCTGTAAGCTCTTGTTGCTTATCCATGAAGTGTACTTGGAATTGTCAGGATGATGAAATCCATTTGGAATGTTACTGTCTCTCCAGTGGGATGAGTTTTTCCACAATTATTCCTTACAAACTAAGCGCATCTCCTCAAGTTCCTTCTCGCTTTCTGCATCCTGGAAATGCAAGAGGGAAATTCATAAATGTACAGTCAATTAAAACAAATACAAAATACCATTTCCCTTCTTTTCCTCCAAAGCAGCTTTTAAGCATATTGCGGAGTCCTGGAATGGCTTGGGTTGAAAAGGACCTCAAAGCCCATCCAGTTCCTGGGCAGGACACCTTCCATGGCCCAGGTTGCTCCAAGCCTTGGACACTTCCAGGGATGGGGCAGCCACAGCTTCTCTGGGCAAATTGTGCCAGCACCTCACAAGGAAGGATTTCCTCCTAATACCTGATCCAAGCATAATCTCTTTCAGTTTGAGGCCATTTCCCCTTTTCCTGCCCTTCCAGACCCTTGTAAATTGTCTCTCTCCCTCTTTCCTGTTGGAAGGCCACAATCAGGGCACCACAAACCTCTCAGCCCAATTCTCCCAGCCTTCCCTCGTGGCAGAGGCACTCCATCCCTCCCTGTGGCTGCAGTGGCCCAGCTGGGATGTCACAGGGTGGAGCAGGGGTGCAGAATCCATTTTTACCTCTTTGGTGTACCCTGGCAGCTCTGCAGCGAGGTCCATCCACAGCACGGCCGCCGAGTCGTTCCCGAGGTCCCTGTAGCACTGGGAAGGGAATTCCCATGGGAGAGAGGTTAAATAGAGAAAACTGACAGCAAATGGAACTGGGCAACTGCTAAAAAGAGCTGTTTCTGCCTCTTCACCCTTTGCACTGGCATCTCCTGCAGTATCCCTCAGCCACCATGCCTCAGAAGCACCACCAGATCTTGGAATACCAAATATATTTCACTCTTTCTTTTTGGGGAAGGAGATTGGGTTTTGTTTGGACATTTTAAGGTGCCCCTGTGGTTTTCACCCTTTTCAAAGCTCTACTTTGATTTTCAGTGCTGTTTCCACTCCTCCTCACACTATTTTCTCCACAAAACCTCTCTCCTGGGAGCACATCGTTGCCCAGCCTGTTGAAAATGTAATAAATATTATCTATAGGAGTCTCAGGCCCAAAATAGGCATGAAATATTCTCCATGTGACCAGCAGCTGAGGCACAGTGATCCCTCTGGGAACAGGAAGATTTTGGGTGCCCAGAAAGTCCTGGGGGTGTTTGGAGATCATGAAATTCACCCAGGAAAAGGAAGTGGGTGTTAAAAACCCCTCAGCAAGAGGGCTCAAGACTCCCATGCTGGACAAGGAAAGGGAAATCCTTTATCCTTTACTTCTCCCCATGATTCTCTGGCTTTATCACCACAGAAGTTATGGTGGGGAAGGATTAAACCTCCAGCTCACAGCTGCCAAGTCACCATTCCTGATTTATACACAATTTCATCTGTTAAATCCAGGGATGCTCCACTGGCTGACTCAAAGGCAAAACCCCTGAATTTTAAAGCCTCTGTTCAAGGTGATTTGGCCTAAAAAGATGTAAAGGATAAAAGGAAATATTATCATCCTATAAATTTTTGCTCCTGCATGGAGTATTTTCTACCTGGTCAGCACTTTACAGCCAAAGGTGATTTTTAATATAAATATTTCTTACTCTCTGAACAAACAATGAGTGGTTACCTTGGCAATGTAAACTCTTCCTGATTTGGAAAACCCTGGGCTCAGCTCCTCGACCTACAGAAACAGAGGTAGGGTGTGACAGGGAAGAGGAGACATTAGGATATGCAAGGACACAATTAATTCTTACATCAGGCTCATTGCAGCTTTTAAAGGAGAAAAAATAGATGGCAGAAAGGAGAATCCTAATAAAGCACTGTGCCCCTGAAACCTTCAAGCAGTTGTCTGGAAAAGTCTGAAATGGAAAAGTCAGCCAGGCTTTAAGTAAAATATTCTGAGGGAGGAGCTGCCAGCTCCCAGACCCTGGAAGCACAGCCCAGATGTATCCAGTACTGAGCAAGGAATTGCTGTGCAGCCTTAGGAAGGAAAACCAACCCCCTAAACCAATTCCCAACACTTTGGGCTGCAATTCTGACATCTTCAACATCCCATTCTTTTGTCTGGCTATTCTGGAATGGACACTTTTCATCAGCTTTCCTTCACCCACATCCCATGCTTGGGGAAGGGCCAGGAGGGATCCAAGCAGCCCAGTGCCATCCCTGTGAGCTGTGCAGGCAGTGCTGCTGTTCCTGTGAGCTGTGCAGTCAGTGCTGCTGTTCCTGTGAGCCCTGCAGGGCAGTGCTGCTGTTCCTGTGAGCTCTGCAGGGCAGTGCTGCTGTTCCTGTGAGCTCTGCAGTCAGTGCTGCTGTTCCTGTGAGCTGTGAGGGTCAATGCTGCTGTTCCTGTGAGCTGTGAGGGTCAGTGATGCTG